GCTAAAAGATTACATTAAACAGCTGGAACTGAAATGAGAAAATAATGATAGTAAAACTTGTAACTTTATATAACAACCATGTGGAGATTCGTATTTTTGTATTGGAATGTAAAGAATGTTCACTTATTTACGAGCTAGATCGTAGAATCGTAGAAAGATGTGTATAAATGTATTGAAAGTGCATAAAATGGAATAGTTACTGTTCATTATTATAATATTAATTATTTTCTAACCGGTAAGATCTCTCTTACATACATGTTCGTGTATTCGCAACACGATTCAAATTTATTTATAGATTGTATCTCGAATAAGATAATTTTACGAAATCTAACTAAATATTTTAACGATGCAGCTTATATGTCTATGAGAGTAGTACTTACGTACGTGCATACACACACATATACAAAATCTGTTCACGTAGAATCTCGCGAAAGTACAATCCAGAAATGTAGAAATGCTGTTTAAACTTACCTTTAAGCACGCCAGTTTTCCTTCCCGTACGAAACCGAACATGATATTCGTCTCTTTACACATCCTCTGATACATAATATAGAAAATCCGACTCATGAACACGACACTGTCTCTTGTAGGGTTTTCCGGCCAGCAATTAACGTTATGAGTGTCCCTATGTTCAGAAGCACAACGAACACGTCGGACGAGTATCCCTTGTCTCTCACTCGCGATTCTCACAAAATTTGTTGGCTGACGGCTTGTCTCATGTTGCAGCGAAACAGACGAAAATAAGAGCCGAAAACGGTAACCGCCCTAATTGTTTTTCTGCTTCCTCGAGAATAGTCTTTACAGTTAGATACGCGCTCGCGCATACAATCCAAGCACCGGATCGATTCCTCTTTTCCTACGTCTTGTCTCGGCCGTTTTGCGAATGCTCGTCCCGTACGATCATCAGATGGCGATACCTGTACCTTTTACTTCGACGGTTCGTCAACAACTGAGCTTCACACTTTCGCAGACTGCCAACTACGTTGTATCGGATCATGATCATGATAATGTCAGCTGTTCACTATAGTCGTCTCTCTCGCACCACAAGGCACACAGTATCTCAGTGACAGCATAGATTATTTACTATTAATTAAAAGGCTATGCTTCACATTCAATTTATTCGAAAGTTGATAACTTTTATCTATGTCATGAATAATTTTAGCAAACGTAGGCGTTTTATTATCTTTGGTACACTCGTCTACCTGGCGTCTACAGATCGTACCATCGTATTGTATGCTCATCTTTATTGGAATGTGTTAGGTTCGACGGGTTAATCGATAGAGGACAGCATTAAACACGCTTCGAGAAATGTTGATAAAGTACCTGCGGCGATATAAGCAAGATCTACACATCCATCACTTTGCGATAAACGCCGAGAAGATAAAAGAGTATTAAAATTGGAAATGTTGATAAATCAATTTTTGCGAATTATTTTACTTATTTTTCATTTTCATTCATAAATTACAAGTATATATGTATTTCCTTCAACCTTCCTATGAAAATGGAGGAAAAATTTAATTAGAAATTTAATGTATCACCAAGAAATAAGTAACGACTCTGAGTACCGGCCTATGTATTGGAGCTGAGAATTTATAATAGACTTTGCAAGTAGATCCACCTTGTTCTTTAGACAGTCACGTGTCTGTAAATAATACAATATTCGTTAACGAAAAGAGCTGCAGCAATTACTGATTTCATAATTTCGAAAAGTGACGTGACTATCCCCTAGCCCCTTAAAGAGGTAGACTCCGATAACACCGCTGTAAGACAGGACGTAAATTCTGACTTCTAGAATTATGCTCTAAAATCTTTTTCACCAGTAGCCGAATACCCCACATATGTATATCCTTCTTTATTTGACGAAATGATATACGTTGATAAATTGTTTTAAACAAATATTATACGATTTATATGTACGTACATTTCTATTCTTTTTTCAAATATTTGGCGATAAGTTGGAAAAAGAATAGATAAAGAATGTTTTCGAGTGCCCAGCAAACTGTAAAGGAGATAAATACATACAGAGGAATAAACTGTGAAATGTTTCACTGTCGATCTGGTCAAATAATTCTGTATAAATCGACGATTTCGCGTATGTATGTATTCATATCTTAAATAATATGCATACATGCAGAAGCGTTTCACTTGGCTTTAATCGCCTTGCCACGAATTATGTTTCGACGGAACTATTTCGGCGAAACAAGTTAAAGTCTCCTCCAAAGTTTCTTCCAAGGAAGTCAAGACGCAGCTCCGTCAACATCGAAACGGTACACCTTAGCCTTTGTGTCAGCCTATCTACGAACATTTTAGCCTTTGTGATGGCTTCGGTAAACTCTGTTTAAATTCGAGCATTCGCGAAAGCATCACCGGATTAACTAAACATCTCGAACAATTGAAGGAAACTCATCCTTGGTAAATGTAATTGAACGAAGTATTGTATGTCTAAGGGACTATGGACATGATGACGCATAGAATGATGGATAAAATATGAAATATCAGCACACTATGATCACATGGTCAATTTGTTTCTGATTAACAATGGGCTACGGTGATATATGAAATACCATTTGACGCAATCGATTTTCAGGCACTAAACACTCGACTAGTATCTAACTCTATAATTATAGATATATATTCGTAAACAGAAGAACGAAATCCATAAGTTCCAACTGCGGTTGTGTGCTCTCCTTGTAAGATAGAAGAAAATCAGTGAGTCGGGAATAACGTGTAATGAACATTAAACGCAAAGCAACCTTTTCTTTGTGCCCACAACTTCAAATAAAGCAAATGTCAAGTTGTCATTTCCCGCGCGATATGTACTTAACATGTTCTAACGCTTTCACCGAGAAACGCAATCGTATGGAACAAACGAAGGACGCAGAGGCAAACTTTGAAGCAGCAAGATTCTAACAGGCCAGCAACATTCCCTACGGTCGAAAAAAATGAGAAATGTAAAACACCGGATCGCAACTACGAGGCTCATTCATTCGACTCGCAACTCGCGACAGATTTGTCCACGGCTCTGTCCCCTTTATCGCTTACCATTCCCCAGAGCCACCCCCTTTACACTCAGGAGTTAGAGTGAGTACTGTGAATGAAAGTTATTTCGTCGTTCGCTACAGAATGGTTCTGAAAAACGACTCGGAATAATGCTTCAAGGACTTTACGAAGAGGGAAGAGTAAAGTATGTTAGACTACGAATCAACGGAAACCGCTTTACGAAAGTTCAACTTGCGGATGAATAATTTTGCGGTGAAAAAAATTTTATCGATGCGCTATAGGTATACTATAATAGGTGTACAATATTTG